CGCGTAGCATGGTATGAACTGTCACCATGACTTTGGAGACTTAGAAGTATCGGAAGAGTAGAGGTTAACTCTTCATTAAGGTACCCTGTGACCCCTGTGACAGTGCTGGTGTTTTCCCACTTGGTTTGGCTTCCAAAGGGCCTGCTCCCTATATCCCAGCCCAAAGTCCCAGGAAACCAAAGGAAAATTTATGAATTTGAAATCTTTTCCCTAGAACAGATACAAAGTGATTTCAAGGGGACAGACCAAGCTGGAGGTTATGTGCTTTGAAACAAATTGTTCTTAGAACATTTGGATTTGACCATTACTTTGTTCCATTTAAAAATTAGGCTAGAAAAATAAATATATTTTACAATCAAATAATATTTATTTTGTTCTTTCATGTTCCTGCATTCATTATAATGAATGTGTACTGCCCTGAAGGCAACTCTATTTCAAGACAGTCTACTCCCATAGATCATGGGATAGAAGTAGAAAAAATATTATCTTTCACGTCCTGTAGCCCAAAGCAGAATTGTTTGTGAGATACAAACAATACTATAGTATAAAGAAAGAAGCTGTCTGCTCCTTTTCATACACAGCAAACTATGTATGAAAGTTACACTCTTAACATACAGTAAAACTGTTGTCGATTGTAGAAATACTCGCACAGTTTACAATGTCAGTCTGAGTACACTGAACAACCACAGGACACTGCACTATCAGGTCTCCATGGCCAAGCAAGGAAACACATTTACAGTATTATACATGACTCCTGCTCCCATTTTTTCAGGAAGCTGAGTTCCCCAAGTATTAAACAGGTTACACTGAACTAGCTCCAAGGTGAGTGTGCAGGAGGATAGGGGAAGGAATTCTCCTGTTGCAGGGTTCTCTCCCAGCTGTGCTGATCTAAAGGCTGGTAGAACAGGAACACTCAAAACCTTCAGCACAGATGGCAAGCTCTCCTGAAACACAGAGAACAGGACACTGTCCCCACCATTGCTATCCAACTGCGGAGCTGGGAAAATCATTATATTTCCCCACACCTCCATGTCTCAAGCAACGCTTTGCCAGCCTTGGCTATTTGGGCTGTATGCTCATTCAGCCAGGGACTTTTTTCTCAGAGGTGTTTCTACAACGCTTGGCACACCGGGATCTCTAGACACTCTCACAACATGGAAATCGATAAGAATCATCATCATGCCCAAAACCTGCCAGGACAGCTGCTGGGGCTGCATCCAGGAGGCACAGTTGTGTAATGTCTCCCCGTTTAACCGTTATGACTTGAAATTTCCATTCAAAGCACATTAAGCAGTATCTGGGGGTGGGGGGAGAACAAGAAGTACCAAGTACACTTGGAAGTTACTAAGTAGGACACAGAGCTAAGACTGAACCTTCACCCTCACTGAGCTCACCACTTCTCAGCACTAGCCCTCTTACTCCAAATGTTTCTTTCATCTTAGTTCTCACATAAAGCAGGGTTCATCTGTTGCTACAAGGTTCTTTTTTCACATCTGCAGTCACCAAACTCTGCCTTCAGGTAGATAGCATATACCTGTATGTTGCAATAGAGGATGCTGCTATATGCCCACATTCCTCTCCTTTTCCCTGATGGATCCACAATCCTCAGATTCCACACACCTGGCAAGGCTGCTCTTCACATCTCCCACAAAGAGAAAGTTGTGAAGGGTCTAAAGTTTCCTGTGTTTCCTCTCTGTGAGCATCTCTATGTCCAAACCGGTCTTTTCCCTAGGCTGCAAAAGTGTTGCTAGCAAACTCCTTCCTTACATCCCTGTTCCTTAGCCTTGATTCAAAGAATCAGGCTGAATTCAAAGAATTCAGATAATTTGGCTGGGCGGTGCAGTGCAGAAGAAAAGCACCAATGGCCTGTTTGGGAAAGAAGAGATATGAACTTGCTTAATTCTTATGCCCCAGTATTACACAGTAGTGGTAGCTAATAGAAAAAGCATAAAGCAGAAAGTGTAATCCCAAGATGAGGACTATTTTACTTGAAATATTCCCGAGGTGACTTTGAAGGGCAGGACTTAAATACAGCCTCAACGCAGAACAGAAGGTGGCATATCCTCTCACCCTGACTCCAAGAGTATGAAGACTGGGGAACAAATGGAGAGAATGAAAAAGGAGTAAAAGAGTCCCTGAGAGTCCATAAATCTGTCCAAGAATTGACACAATAAAAGTATATTAAAAAACAACATTGTTTACAAGCAGCATTTAAATGGAAAAGAGGTCAAAAATCATCCCACGGAAAGAGAGATGTGACAAAATGCCTACCCAGACATGGTCTTCAGGCATGGCTTTGCTCTTGCCTTAATTGTTTACCAGAAAGTAATATGTGAAAATCACCTAATTTCTTAATTAGGTATTAGAAGGATTATTTGGCTCAAATCTATAACCCTGAGACGGAGGTAGTTCCCAGTGAAGATAATTTAATGGAGTGGGCTGAGCTCCCTTTGCCTTTTTCAAGACCTATGAAATTAATTTGCAGGACTATTATCCTCAAATTAAACACTTCAGTGATTTTCCCCCCACCCTGACTATCCACAGCAGTGCCAGAGCCTGGCAATCATGTGCAACTCTGCAATTATAAACTGGCAAATTCACAATGGAAGTAAACTATTTCAATTAGGAATCAGATTTCATTTTTAAGCATCCAAGAACTTACTTAACTAGAAGCAAAAGAAACTATTTTCCCCAAACTTAGGAATCTGCTTACTAAAGAAATAATAGCATAGGGCTGGTAGAAGATAGCCTTTACTGCAGAAAATTTGGTGAATAATCCACTGTTATCCTTGTATTATTGTTACAAAACAAACAAACAAGGAATGAGAGAAAAGTTTTGGAGATTAATTTGCCCAAACATCAGTTTCAGCATGCTTATGCAACTCCTGTGAAGCCAATGGATAGCTCAGGGATGTGATATAGAGCAAGATTTAGACTACCCAGTGTAGTGGTCATCTCTTAAAGGCCTAATGTACAAACCTCACTGACAGGACAGATTTCTGGACTAGAGCAGCACTACATGAAGGAGAACAGGAATAAACATGCAGGTTCATCTGCCCTCTGGCAGATAGATCTATGAGTCTCAAATAAGGGAAAAGATGGCTTTGTTGAAGATCAGATTAAAAATAGGGATGAAAAAAATGGCACGAATATAAAGTTAGAAAGTTACTGAAGACCACTTAAAAAGGGGAGAAGGGAACAAATGATTTTTTTTCTTGAATAAATATCAGAAGTACCCAAAGAGAACATCTGATGGTATACGTGCGTTTCTTGGACAAACAGTTCCGTGGGGCAAGCTCCTGCAACATGCTGAGTTCAGCTTTTTATTTTACGCAGAGGAAGATGCTAAGACTTGACTATGCCTTTTGTCCAACTCCAGCTGATTGGCAAGTGACAAATTTAGAGACAATTTGAATGAAGTAACCAGAGTTCAGTATTCTAAGGGAAAAGGAAACATGAGAGCAACATAAAAATACTCAGGAGATCAGACTTCACCAGCTAAGCAAGTGACGGGTAGAATCTTCTAGGAGGATAATCGTGGATAGTTGTGAGTTAGTAAAACATACGATATTGCATGTGCAGTGGCAAACGACAAGAAAGGTCTTGGATGCAGCCTCTGAGTCTTCAATGCTGAGTCCCTATGTGACCAGGGTGTCAAAACCAGTTTGTGCAAATAATGAAAGTAAAAGTGTGTAACTGAGGATGAGTGAAGTGGAACAGGTAAAGCACATAGGAATAAAAATGAATGTCAAGTTATAAGAATTATAAAGGCAATAAGAAATAAATTAGAAGAGTGAAACTGGTGCTTTTCCATGCAGGAATGGAGAAGACCCCACAGAGATGTAAATCGTATGGTAACATACTTTTTTCTGTATTCACCAAAAAAAAAAGTGAACTGTGACTTAGTATTAACATGGAAATAGCAAGGTAGGTCACAGTGTACAAAACACAGGTGAAAAATATTTCAATAAATTAAGGATGTTCAAACCACCAGGGTCTGAGGAAATCCTCCTTTGCATGAGGAGCTAGCTACAGTAACCTGAGAGCCTCCTGGAGTGATTGCTTTGAATGGCTGGTAAATAGAGAAGACAGTACTTATCTTTAAAAAGGATGGGGGAATTACAGACATGTCAGCAAAATAGGGATCCCTGAAAAACAGAAACTCCTATTAAATAAAAGTACCATTTCTGAAGTACCTGGCAGATTATAACAGTTACACTGGCATTGATAAGAACAAATTGTGCCAAATCGCCCCCAAATAGTACGTATCCCTCCTTGGAAAAGACAACAGACCTAGTGAATTCAGGGATATTATGGTACAAGGTGTTGTTTGGCCACTGGATGCTGATTGCTATTCTCTTCAACAAAAATAGTCTCTGGGTCTGTTCTGTGGGACTTCTCAAACAGGAGAGAATGAAGCACCAGGCCTTTTGCAAACCTTCCCATAACATGGGCATGAGGGGACTGTCTGCTGCATGAGATGATGCTGAAGTCAAATTTGCTGAGAGGTGCTGTTTGAAGTCCACCATTCTCCTGCTCTGATCTCATAGAAACACACAGTTAATAACTGAAAACACAGCAAAGGTAATACTAAAGGAGGGCTCCTCAGGAGCCAAGTGATGGCCCTGCACACTACAGCAACTGGGATTTCTGGCCCTAGATCCAACCGCTACCCAGCAGACTAGTGTTGAACAATTATTCTACTTAGCAAAGAACAGAAAGGGTAAAGCTAATTAGAATAATGACTTTTATGTTCCTTGTTGCAGGACAAAGAGGAGACTAAGATATCCCTCATGATGCTGTTCAGCTCACTACGTCCATGATTTATAGTTATGGAACCATCTGACTTCCTATAGCAAAGTACCTTCTGTATCATCCATGCCAGCTGAGTAGTGTCAGTGCTCCTCTTAAGTTTGCTTTGGCTCAGGCTACTCGCAGCAATAGACCATAGTCAGGCCATCAGTTGAGTTAGAAGAAAGGCAATCTTTCAGGTCCTTAGAAAGCTTTGAAAGCTTAAAGGGTAGTGGAGAAAGACATTATGAAAGCATGAAGGAGAGATTCTGGCTATGCCAAGAGAAGCATGGAGCTCTAAGATGAAAGAAAGAGAAGTTAAGGGAGAAATGATGATGCTGTGGGAGGAGGGTGCCTTGCGAGACACAAAAATGCCAGAAATGATAGAGGATTTAAGAGGATGGGTAGGGAAAGACAGCCAGCAGACACAGATTCCTGGGGACGGAATATTTTTGGAAACCTTATTTAGCAATTCACGCAATCTTTTCTTACACTTTCTCTCACATGCAGAAAAACACACACATGCTGCACACACAGAACAGTTTTATCCAACCTACTTATGTTAACAGATAAATGCAGCTAATCATACATATGACAATGGTCCCAGAAAATGCTGTAGTTATACTCTTTATCTAATCCAATTTTGGTCAGTAGATATCTTAAATATATATCTTAAAGCATCGAACTTTGAAGCTGGTCTCCCTGGGCATACCATATGGTTAAGGGACGGAGAAAGGTTCCTCCAAGAGGAAATGGAAAGCAAGAGCCTGATTTACATGTCCAGATTCATGCTGTGTAGCAGGTTTTCTCTCTGGATTACACAGACAGCCTAGGAGCCAGCCTTCTGAATTAGATACCTACAATTAGTGCAAGTATGAACTAAAGTGTTTCAATAGAACAAAGTAACTGATTACTTTCAGAACATGCTTGGAAGTTCAGGTTGTTTTTATGTAAAAAACAGACATGCTAAATAGAAATATTTTAATTAACTTACAGTCTTCCACAGAATTTTTCAAAATTTCACTGCAAAACTGAAACCTCTCCACAAAATATTTTCCAGTTTTCTACAGTCAGAAAATACAATTCCAAAAATCCAGCCAGTCAGATGACAACAAGCCAGTTTGTTTAAGTTTAGGTTGCCAGACACAGGAAGATCTTTTAGCTCTTTATTTTCCTAATGGAAGACATGAAAATGTAATTAAACCCAGATATTTTTACCCAGGATATTTCCATTTTGGCTAAGATTACAGTCCTCATTTAAAAAGCCATTTCAAGTTAAAAAATTCCACTGAAAAGACATTCTGAAGAGATTTATACTGCAGGCAATGGTGCAATATAAATATCTAGACTGGACAGGAGGGAAAGAAGTAGATGCTTTGATTTGGCAATGTATCTAAACATGAGCAAACTCTGACCATATAAACAGTTCTGCTGAGAACACACACTGCAGAACATTGTAGTTGTTACACTAAATAACCAAAACATAGGCTTAAATGCCTTTGCATTTGCTGTACTTTGAAACTGCCAGTTCTCATGTTTTAAAATGCTCTTTTAGCTTCCAGTTGCAGGCTATCTCATCTGGTGGCCAGTTACTCATCTAAGATGCTGAACCTTCTCTAAGACCTGAGAAAAGGACAATCATAGATTTATGCTGTCACTTTCTCAAGACAGACTTATATGCTGAATGAATGAGGAGCCTTCTGTAAAAAATGCATTTTTATTTTTTTGGATAGACAAACCCAGTTAATGTTTTGAGGGTACTAAGAAGGTAGGTTAATTACTTTTCAATGGGAATTACTAACCAATTTATTGGTGCAAAAATAATTTTATTGTCAAGAAGAGCAATCAAATTAGGATAATTCACTTATTTTCATCAGTAAAGATGGTTCAGTTTGAATAAAGATGTTTTTGTAGCTAGTAAGAACCTTGTGTGCATATAAAGATGCAAAGTTTCAGCAATTCTAACTATAGTTCTATAATAACAAAAACTAAATAACTACTTCATTAAAGGTACTCTTTACACAGAAGTTAATGCCATCATTGTGTTCTGCTGTATTCTACATGGACTATGACTACTGAAGGCAGAATAGCCAGTCTAGATCTGGATTAATCATTAATAAAAAAGAGAAGAACATACTTCAGAGATGGCCTTTGCTATTGTTAATGTCAATACACAGGCTCGGGGGTGTTGCAGAAAAAGCACATTGTAGTTCTCTAACAGGTTGCATTCTCATCTATTTATATTGGATATTGTCACATGTCCATATAATTATGATGGACTCAGGGCTGTATATGCATTACAACATGCTAAGGTATCCTGAAGATCCACAAATCAGTCTGAAGGCAATGAGAGACTTGTGCTTCTCAAAATGAAGTTACGGACATGGTGCCTACCTACAGAAGTACCTGGACAAACAGCACTCAACACTGCAGCTCTTCATGTCTGGGTGCTGGGCTCCCAGCACTAAGCTAGGGAGCCAGACTGATTATCAGGGGTTAGGGATCTGCCCATAAAAAGGGATTCACAAGAGTCCATTCAATGGACAACATATGCTTCAGATATGGCTCAGAGGATGTGCCAAGGATATCCAGTCAAATCCTATATATACCCCAAGGCCCATCTGCCTTATTCTGGGCTGTATGAAGTACTTGCCTTGCATGCCACTCCACTCTGAACTCTTCCTTGTCTTAAAGCACTTCAGCATTTTCTTTCATAAAGAGCAGGGCTAAGCCACTCCTGTCTTCCATGGGTTCTACTGCTATTCCAGCTAGCAAAAGGAACTGATGAACATTTAAGGGGACCAGGGCCAGTTCCCTTTTCTAGCAAGATTCACATCTCTCTCTCACACATGAGCATACTAGCTGCCAGGCTAGCTCCCCCTGCCACACAGGTTGGCCTCTTGGGATAGATAAATAAAAGAATTGGTTCAGGTACAGGCTAGTCCCACAGCAGAGCACAGGGTCTGGTGTAGAACCCTCTCCTTCCCACCCGTGAGGCAGAACAGGGCTTCTTTTGCTCTCAGATCTCCAAAGGTTGTGGTATGGTGCTTGTATAGTGAAGAATGAAGCCACCCCTGAAATTCTGTCAATCAAAGGTAGAGATTTGAATAGCAGAGACAAAAACCAGGAAAGAAAATCATTCAGGTTGCTCAGTGACTATTAGAAAATACTCTTGAAGGCACCTCAGGTGGGGTGACCAAGATCACCAATCACATCTGAGACAGCCTAAGAGTTTCACTCATAATAAAATAATAGGTGAACTAAGCAACCTGAAGACTGGAAAACATGGAGAGATATCCACCATGGCCAGCAGGCTGGCATAAAACAAAAGAAACTTCTTGAAATATTTTTAGGGTGACATACAGAATCTGAAAGTCTTCTGAAATGCCGAATATCACCATAAATTTATGCTGTAAGACAGAAATTGAAAAGAGAATCTGAACACAAGACTTTGACCTCAGACATCACACTTTCCGGAGCAGACCGCCTGCTGAAATCCATGCTTAGGCGGGTTCTTTTTTCATCTGCGTGGCTGCTCTGCAGTCACTCCATGGAAGGTAGATCAGACCAACAGGATCAGAAAACTGCTGTCCAGGAAGGTGCCTTCTGAGGAGAGGCAGGCAGGAGGAACAGCACAGATGGAGCCCTCAGAAAGTGGGTGTCTAGATAAGTGCAGTATCTGGGGAGAGAGAGGATGAAGAGCCTAGGTACAGCTAGATTGCAAGGTTGGCTGAACTGATACAAAGAGACATCTCACAGAATAAACAATGCTAGATACCACTCAGATTGACATAACCATCATTGATTGACATGCCATCAACTCAGAAACGTTAGATACACAGAAAAGCTGTGACTTAATATCTTGAGTAAGAGTGACTTGATGTCTGAATCTCTTTCTTACAATGTCATACTCCTAGCTCTTCAGTCCCTAAGCCTGCATTTCAGAGAGCAGAAAAACAAAAACTTCTGACTGCAGACAGAACAATCTACCACTGCAGCACTGGTTCTTTCCATGCTGGAGGACACATCACAGCTCTGAAAACTAAGTTAACAACTCTGTGCACTTTTAGCATAAAGCAAGGCTATGCCAAAGGCAAAATAATCAATAGAATTAATTTCTGTCCTTATGAAAGGCTGATAATTCAGTATTAAAGCCTGATTCTTCTCTCACAGAATTCAGTAGCAAATCTCTATCTGTTTGGATGAAGTGAGAGCAAACCTCGAGAATTCACTAAGGCTTATATACTAGTGTGCACTGAACCAGTGAAGTGGACCCAGCAAACAAGGTGAGAAAAGTAAAGCTGCATTCAGCTTGGATTGGATTGCTTGCCTTCATTTTTACTTAGGGAGGCACAAAGAATACCCAGAGGGTTAGCCAGTTTGATGGCTAAAAGCTCCAATGCCCTGACAGAGCCAGTTCTCCCACTGTTACTGTCTCTGCCAGCATTCTAACGATGGGAGATTTCCTCAAGAATGCTACTGTAGACACAACCACAGTATAAATAGTTGGGCTGCTGCTCCTCTGGGAAAGCCAGTCATGCCAAGAACTGTCAAACCAACAGCAACAGCAACCAAGGTGGACAGCTTTCTGCTTCTTGTTCACAGTAGAGGTAGACAAGGTGCTGAGGATTAAACAGGTCCGTTATAGGGCTCATGTTGTTGCAATCAAGCTTTTTCCTCTCATTTAAAATATCTGAAACAATCAAAACGGAAATTAAAACAAATCCAAAGAACTGCATGAATGTAATATAAGCACCTCACACTTAAAAAGCATATACAAGTACACACGTAATTCCAGCAACCACAGGAACAGAGGATAAGTAGCTTTTGGGTTGCCAGACCCTCTTTTCTGTTCCATTTAATTCTTCATCCTCCCCAGAAGATGTAGCAATCCAAAAAGGACAGGCTGAGGCTGAGTACAGGGAAAGGGTGTATGGGACAGATGGAGACTCGTCCACCTTCAAAGCAGCCTCTTACCATAAAAGACAATTCACAGCATTGCTTGAACTTTCAGCTTTTCTCACATTTAAAAGCTTTCCTTCAGCAGAACCTTCTCCCTGCCCTGTTCTACAAAGTAGCCATGCTGCCTTTCCATTCAGCAGTTGTGGAAAGTGCCAGGTTAAGCATTCTAGAAGCTTGAGTTGCCCATGGAGCCATAGAACAAAACCACCTCTGGCTCAGATTTCTTCTAAATTTCTGTTTCCACATGAACTTCTTAGCACAAAAGTGAATATTTGGTGATGCACTAGTGGACAGGCACTAATGGTTTCTTTGCTGTTTAAGAAAAACTCTTTACAGATGGAACAGAAGATAAATGACTGATTTTCATTTCCAAGAAGGCTCATTTACAAATCTCAAGTAGTCTAATAGGGGTTTAAGTATAGTTTACACCAACTAGTTTCCACCAGAAGACACAGAAGTATTAATAAACACAAAAACTAAGTCTCCCCCTCTATTATTTGCAAAAGAAAATTACTACTTTTATATTTGCTCGCAGTAAATGCCAAGGATTATAATGTAAATAGAGCAGTAGGAAAGTACTTAAGGAAGATGTAGCAAATCCATTGTTTGCAGTGATTCTACTAAGTTTAAAACCAGACCTGGCAATTAATATGCTTTGATAGAATCATGTTTTTCGTTACACTGCTCCACATATTTAATTATCTGCTAATCCATCTCCAAGAAATCAGTGAGCTAAACTAGAGAACCATTACCTGAAAAACATGACCAAGAGCCAAGTATTTGAAATCACTTATTGATACAAAACATAAGGCAGACTTCCAGCACAAGCAGTCCCTCGGGTTTAATCTTAAGATCTATAATGAAAAATCTCTTCTCTTTACCACTGTAGTCTTTCATCTCTTCCCAGGAGGGAGCAATCATCTTCCCAAACCCTCCCTTGTGGTCTTAATTGTCAAAAGGGAGTCTTTCTGTTAGTGCAGCACTGTAAGGCTAATGAATTAACTGAAGTAAAGATCATATCTAACAAAGACCAGCTACTGAACTACAGCAGCGTACTGATTCCCAGCAATGGGCTCTGGGCAAATCACCTCCAGTCAAACCACCATCACTGAAAAGTTACTGTCTACTTTTCATAAAAACACAGTTTGTCACTAGCTCAAGATACACTGTTAAGTTAAAAAAGTTTCATATAGGGAGGCTAATTTCTCCTTACCTGAAAATGAACTGTTGCCCAAATCAGGGGTGGGAGATTTATTAGGAAATTGGCACAGTTTTAGAAAAGGAGAAGACCTTTCTCTGGCAGGTAAGATGGAGTGGATTCGGTTTATCTGCCATTTGTGGCAAGCTGTGGAGAGGGAAGGGTGCTGGGGTAAGGCTAAGTTGACACTGTAGGCTTGCACTGGGCCAGTTGAGATGGACAGGATTGTAAGAAGATGTGACCTCCAACTATACAACTTCAGTTGCTGCATGCCCAACTGTTGACCTAATTACCCTGGCAAAACTGGACTTCTCAGATTGCTAGTTTCCCTTGGTGGGGGAGAGAAGTTTGTCTCTGTAAAACCTAGAACAGTTACAACCAGCCATATTTAGACAGACCCTGAATGAAATGTTTGATGTTCTCCAGCATTCCTTTAGGGTTGGAATTTTTCTTGTCCAAGACGGTCAAAAGGCATGCATTTACAAAGCCTCATGGTCAATCCCAAGCTTGCTTTCTCAGGAACTAAAACATTTTGGGTGAAAATTGCAAATCTGTGCACCATCAGGACAGTATTTTCTGTTCTGCAAACCTCTCTGAGCCCAGAAGCTGTTGCCCTAGGCCAGCAGCCAGCCAGAAAACTGGTCAGTTCAAGACACTAGCCTCTTCAACAAACTCAAAGCCAGTTCACAGCACTGGCTTGAGACCACAAGGAAGCCAAGAGGTGAGGCTTTACAGTAACAGAGTGGAAGTGGAAAAGAGGGTGTCTCAATTTTCAAGGCTTCCAAGAGACCTGCAGAGGTCATTGAGTAGCCTTTGTATGACTGTAGTTAGCAAAACAGAGCATAATTTATGAGTATATTCATGCTACAACTTTGTGCTGTAATAACTTGAAAAACTGATGAGTAAAGTTTTCAGAACTAAGTCTTTATTATGTTAGTGAAAGAGAAAATATTTAGCACTGATCAAGAGTAACAGCTTTTGTGGTACAAAAAGAGCATTTCCTTAAATTTTTGCTCTCTCCTTAATAATAGCTGATAATTTTAAATGAGCTCTGCAGGCATATATATATACTTCAAACCAAACCAGTTTGGGCCAGGACACAACAGTCACTCATGAGAAGACCAGGCTATCACAGTTCCAACATGTCCAGTCACCTGAAGTTCAGCAAGGGTCAAATTCTCCTAAAGGAACACATTTTTCCAAGTACCTTGGTGACTCAGGTTCCTAAGCAATTTCCACCCAGGACAAAAGATGTGCAAATATAACAGGGCACACACATTTCAGTGTCATATCTCCAGAGGAGACTTTCACACTGTGATGCTGAGTGTTGAGCTGTTAATTCACTGAATGCAAGTCTTGATGCTGGTGTGAGTATTGAGGCCTTCAGCAAAGAGCTACTTCAATACACAAAGAAACTAACAACAAGCAAGGAGCTGTCTAAGCCAGCCAACAGTGGAGTTCCAAGGACTAGCAGGTTCCTTAAATCCCACCCACCCTAGAAACCTGGCGTTTTACAGAGGATGGCAATGAGGCGCCTCTCTCCCTGCAGAAGTCATAACCCTAAATCTTCTTCTCATATTTGGTACTTATACCTACCCATTTGGAGACAAAAAAGAAACAAAAACCAAAAAAACTGCCAAGAAATGAAGGTTTCACATCCCATTTTCGTTCAGTAGCACTCCTCCAGGCCATGGAGTTGGTACCCACTTTAAAACTGAGTCAATAATCTCCACTTCAGGTTTAGGTAGCTAATATTGCTGCTATACACCTGTATCTAACCCCTGGTACCCAAACAGCTTTAAAATCTGGACCTTAAGATTCCAAGTTTCTCAGAATTCAACACAACTATGATTCTTACACCTTCTTTGATGACGGTTGTAAGGGTCCTAGGTCTTTTGAGGTGAAATTCTTTAAGCTGAAATGAAAATATTTAGTCCACTCTAAATATCTGGACTTCCCCTCTGATTGGCATATACCTCCAGAGATATCTTCAGGTATTCCATCCTATTCTAAACTATTTTTGAAGGAATTATTCATCATTTTTGTTTGCTTCCACTCTTAAGTACATAGCTCTTAATGTCTGCAGAGCTGCTGAGCAGGAGCTAGAAGCCTCAAAAAGAAATATATTTTCAAACAGGATTGTCTGAACTAAGGTGCAGTCAGAGTCATCAGTCCACAACTCCTGCATTAGAACTGATAAATGCTGGTGGAGTCTAACACAGTGGCAATGGGATTTGAAAGTGACATTCAGCTTCTCGTGATTCTGTGCTGTCTGGCAATCACTGTCAAAGGAAGCAGAACTGGAGTGTTTTCTCTCAGCTGCTTGTATTTGCTGATAGCCCAGATATAGGAAAGAGAGGCATCAAAGAGCAAGGAAGGCCAAAATCCCCCCCATCCACAGCCACACACACATTTGGAATGCAGCTCAGCAGGGAGGCTCCCAAAATCATTGTTGGAAGAACAAAGGCAAGTTTTAGATGACAGACGTTTCAAACAACAGAAAAGTTTGAGGAGACCAATAAGAATAACAATTAGAATGGGAAAGGATTAAGTGGCCAACAGAAAACAACAAAAGGAAAATTAACATCTTTTCAAAAATCACAAAGCAACTTCAAAAGTAGGGTAAGAACAATGAAAACCCCAAATTATGCACAGTTTAGCAGCAAAGCTCACAAAGAAATTAAGTGACTCCTGCAGAGAAAGGGTGTGGGGAGATCTTATAAAATTACCAAATTCCACACAGGATAAAAAAAAAGAGAATTCTCACACACATAGCCTGGTAGGCAGCCAGTACCACTCAGTGCCATGATTTTTGAAGGCCAAATTCTAAAATGCATTTCTAATTCCAATAGTTTTGCAAAGGGGAATGATAGATAATGAAACAATATTAAAGAAATCCAATTGGGGTTAGCAAGAACTAGTCAACTGTGCCAACTAGTGACACAGCACAATGTGTCTGTGGTAACACCTTGCTTTTGTGCACTCATTACCTAATGAAACTTCAACAATTTGGGATGAAAGTGTGTATGATAAGCACTAAACTCCGGTGAAATTCTGTCTGTTTGTTTTGAAATGTTCAGCCAAAATCATTGTGATGTTTCCCAGAATAAGATGTGCAGATGATTGATAACTTCTCTCACCCCTTAAAGGAAAAACTCTAATGATTTCCTCTGTAGCTTCAACTACTTCTATACAACTATACAAGTAGCGTAGCTTCACTACTTGTATAGCATGGGAAAGGATGTTCAAATTTAGCAGAAGCCTAAAACTTAACCTATCTGTGTTATGACTTTACCTTCTGCCATAAAAGACAACGCGAATTTTATAAATCTTAGAGAAACCACACTTCACACATCCTTAACAGTGACTTCCTCAACTTCAGCAGCTAATGATTCTGGCAGTCCTTCCGAACCTTCCTTCTTCCCTGAGCCCATTCATTCCACAGCTCTTAGGGTTGTTCAGGCTGTAGCTAAAACCAGGGAAAACCTGCAAAAGCTGTATTTGGCTTTTCCAGACTAGCATGAGGCCAGGAA